TTGCTGATGGGCAGGGTCGCGTGATCGCGTTCCTTGCTGTCCTCGGTGGAAAATACAGGCGGGTAATGGACTTGCCCCGAACGGCGGCCCGGCTCAGTTGTCCACCTCGATTCCGCTCCCACCTATCTCTCAGTGCTCAATTGTCAAACTTAATCGTATCGCGGCGCTTAGATCTAATCGGATCCTTGATGTCGGCGAGATCCTTAGATCTAAGCGCCGCGATGGGACAGGAAAGACCCGAGGACAGCGAAAAACGCGATCGCGCACCCTCCCCACGAGCAATCTCCCGACTCATATCTGGCGATACCGTCCGTAAGTGATGCACTCGGTAACTAACGGGACGTAATCGCAATTACAAGGGTTGTAAAGCCCGGAACGGCGTGGATGCAAACAGGGGATACGCGGGGACGAGCTCGTGGAGATGGTAGCGGCCATTAATCATTTTACTCCCGGCGTTGGTACGGGTTTATACGACCGATGGGTATTACGCCGTCTCCCCGTGAAAGACTCGACGCGGCTCGCTCCAGGAGTCGGCCGATCGATCGGCCGCCGTTCCCGAATTCGGAGCCTCCGTTGGAGCGGGGAAGAACCGCCGTTCCGGAGGACCTCCCGTTTTTTCCATTAGGTGCTTCCGTCGCGGAGGGCGGGTTACGGGAGCGACCGGAGGGCGGCGAGGGGGCGCAAAGAGGGCGAAAGGGAAAGAAAGGGAAAGAAGGAGGAAGAAAGGGAACGGGGTCCTTTCGAGTCCCGAGGGGAGAGGGGCAGGTGGATCCGCGAGGGAGAAATAAAAGTGCTTCCTTCCATGGCGGGAGCTTTTCAAACTAGCGTAACGACGGTCGGAGGACGCCCGCGGACGTCCCCGCTCCCATTTACCGTCGGCCATCTTTTGTTTCTCACCTCCCTTTGTCCCGCCAAGATAGCTTATAAAGCTCCCCCGTTCTCGTCCCCGGTAATCGCCACCGGTTGCGGACTAATACCGCCGGCTTCTTTCGCGGTAACGGACTCCTATCGGCTCCGCGGATCTTATCGACCGGCCTTCGATGTCGAGGAAGCGATAGCGCCGTTTCCTCTCGAGCCGAGTCACCCGATAGAAGATAGAATTAGAATTTCGTTATCGACGCGTCGGAACCGCGCTAGGCGTTTGGCGTCCCTCTCGGGACGCGTTAAACCGAGTTCCGCGGGAGTCCTCCGGGTGACGGGAAAATTCCTACATCCGCGAAAATCCAGGTCGGCCGCGCCGACGACGTCGACGCGCTCCGAGTTGGAAACGCGCCGCGAGAAAGAAAATGCCGACTCGCTTGCGCAACGAGAACGGAGTCGACCGATTTCCTCGGATTTGTGCAACCGGCAATTGCAGGGAGCCGGCCGAGCGATCGCTCGCTCGCAGCGAACCCGATTACGAGGTCAGGTGGCCTACCCGGGGCTAGAGGGGCTCTAGGTACCCCTGCGAGGTGCGCGGGTGGACGATGGTCGCGCTTACGTTAGCGTAAGCCGGCCGCGACGCCTCCCGGTGGACTCCTCCGTCGCGGACGAGCTTTCGCGAACGGCAAGACGGGGGCAAGGAGAATTCAAAGGGAAACTCGAAAGGCCCGGTCGCGGCGATCCGCTCCGTACGTCCGTAACGACGGAGTCGCGAAACGCCGTCGGGAAATCCCAGAGGAGGGGCTCAAGGTTCCCCTAGATTAGCTCGGCCTCCGGCCCCTCGGTAACTAATAACCACACGGAGATTCTAAACGGGAGGATATCCTCCGCCGAGATCTTAACGCCGACCGAGGTCTCGACGCCGAGGTAGGCGGCGTCGCGAAGACCCTTTCCAAAGGTCCTTTCCTTCCCCGGAAGGGAAATTGATCGGCGATCGGAACCCCGGTGCGAAGGAGGAGAAAGTGGACGAGCCCGTGGATTACAGGGGACGACGAAACGCCCCGGTCGAGAAGGGGTGCGGGGGCGGCACGGCGGAACTGGGGCGAGGACGGAGCGCCTCGGCACCGACCGGGCGGCGTTATAAATTCCGCCTCGCGGGAACACGGTAGCCCAGAAACTCGACGGTGAACCCGCGGCGGAGAGATCGTTCCCGAAAGCGGAAAAACGGTAAAGGAAGGACGCGGAGGGTGGCGCGCCCCCCGCGGTCGATAAACTCGGTGCGGAGGGGCGCGGAAGGGCGCGGAGGTCGAGTCCCCCTTTCCCGGCTCGGAACTGGAGCAGGAGACGGAAGGAGAGGGCGGCGATCGATGCCGTCTCCATGGCGACCGCGCCGAGATGCTCCACCGGCGATTATTTATGTCAAGGATCCTCCGCTCGAACTCGGCCGCGCGGGTCCCGCCACCCCGGCCGATGCGACTCGCCCCTCGACTCGAGAAAACCGCCTTCGACCCAGTTTACCCCCGAGTGGCCTCCGCGCGCAATCGATACCGCCGCGGACCGCCGCGAGCCGGCCGTTTCGCGCCTCTCCTCCCTTCAAGGTTGACCTTCCTTTTGCCTGGACCTCCGAGGTCCTTCCCGAAGGGATCGAGGGTGGACGAGGAGCGTCCTCCGATTGGCCCGGAACGGGACTCGCGCCGACCAATGGGTCCTTCCCGATTCCGGGCGAGGGCCCGGGCCTAGGATTCGATTCCGGCCGAGGGAGGGGCGCCTCGTCCTTGGCGGGCGGACCCAATGGTTTCCTTGCTTTCCAGGTAAAGGATCCGTCCTTTCTCGTTTTGCCGGGCGAGGGTGTAGCCGAATCGGCGGCCGCCTCGGGACGCGTCGACGCCCGCGACGTGACTCACGCCGCTCCTGGGCCGGCCACCGAGGAACGAGATCTCCGTCGCGAGACTCCTCGTCGGGGCGCGGCGTCGGGGACGTCCCCCGTAAAGTATCGAGACTTTAACGACCCCGGGTCGTCGCGACCCGAGCAACGTTCCATCCCCTGCAGATTATCGTAATTAATCCCGGCCAGGGTCGATCCGCGACGGCAATAAGTATCGCTAATCGTTCCTTTGGAAGGAGCGAGGAAGGAGACGGGCGCCTAGCGTCCCCTTTGTTCGCGGATAGGACGCTACCGGGAAGGCCGGCCCTCGGTGCAAAATGCCGGACGCTCCGCGAGAGACCTAAATCGTAATTCGTAGGCCGAGGCTCGTAAATCCTTCCTCTCGTCTCGTCCTTTCGAGAACCGAGCGCGGCTCCGTTCCGTCCCGGTCGTCGGGCGGGAACGCGACGTCGGTCGGCCTCGTAAACCGACTCCCGAGGTCCTCGAGGTTCGCCGTCGACGACGAGGAGCGCCTCCTCGCGTAAATCCGAAACCGGTCCGACCCTTTGCCTACCTTTTCGGAAACTCCCCGAGCGGCGGAATCTCTCCGGAGTCCTCGTGGGCGCGGCTTCCCCGTTGGGGGGCAAAGGAAGACCGGCGTGGAAAAAATGCCTAAACGAGCGGGAACCGTGCACCGGGCATAAAGGAAGCCCCGGAGGTCGGACACGTGGAGAGGCCAAGGTGGCGCGAGAGCCTCCGCCGCACCTATTCCTCGCGTCGTCGACGTCGCTCCTCGCTCCGGAACGGGGCCGAACGATAAAGTCGGCCGGTCTTATCGATCCCGAATTTCTCTTTTCGGTCAATGCCCAGGTCCCGCGGACGAAAATTCGTCTAATCGACCGACGCTACGAGGGCGTCGACGGAACGGAACGGTCGTTCCTTTCGATTCGACCGATCTCGGACGGAACTCGACGACGCCGCGGGGACGAGAACCTTCTAATGAAATAATTCGAGGGCGGTCGGGCGCCGATAATCGTGTGTGCCGGGTTTCCCGTCTCTCCCCCCCTACGATTCCGCCGCACAAAAGAGTCGTTACGCCGAGGCCGAGTTATCGGCATGGAATGTCTGCGCTTGATAAGACGACGATATCCCCGGATAGTCGGTGCGGCCCTGTCCCGCGTCGCGTCCCGAGGCACGCACATGCGTCGAAACGCCCATACACGGCGGCACCCCCGTTGACCGTTAATCGATCAATGGGTTCACGATGACCGCTGCCCGATGCGGGGAGAGTGCGTGCCCGCGAACACGCTTACGGGTTATCTCGGCGTGGAATACCCGATTACATGGGGAACGCGCCGATAGGAAGAACGGGGCCTCGAGCTCGATGCGACGATTCGATCGCTTCGGTTCTTTGCCTCTCGCCCGTCGACTCTAGAGTCTCGTTGCGCCACGTCTAGTTTTTTTTCTTCTCCTCGGCCTACATAAAACTCCGGTAAGAGTAGGTCCGCGCATGCGCGATTGCTAAACGAGACGCACGCGACCGCCTAGATATCCGATTAACGATCGCCACCGAACTTCGTCCGGACGCGACCGGTTCTCTCTTTGTCGTACCATTTTACGAAACTATTCCCCTAGGTTTACTCGCTTCTAATCTCCCCGACAAACAAACCTAGAGATAGGTGCGTTATGACATTCTCTCGAGGACGGTTGGCCGTCGTTACGTAAAGACGCGCACGGGCCGCGTTGATTGCCGTACCGTGGCGTACGATTAAAGGTAATTCGTATTTACCGACGCGGTGGCGGTCTTTAATCGAGAGGCAATCGCATCGCGCCCTGCAGTTTCGATCATCGCGTGATCGAGCTCGTATCGTTTCGAGCCGCACACGAAGGTTCCGAGTGTTCCCGCGGTTGGTACTTCCTCCCACGAACGCGGCGCCTCCGACGACAGAGAGCGCCACAATCGAGCACCGTGGGCGCGCCTACCTTTTCTTTTTCCCTCGCTAATTTTTACTCCGACCTGCGTACGGGTTATCTCATACATTCATTTAGCAATATTAATAATACTTTCGTGGATAAGACTCCGGCATGGAGCCCGGTGAAGCGGCGCCGTTTACCCATTTCCCTGCGATGCCCTCTTGCCGTGGAAACGAGGATAAGAATTACCTGGAAAATATAGGAATTAATCGTGCACGGGAAACGTCGTTAACCGCTAGCCATAATTCCCCTAGGTTTTTACAAGCTTCGACCAACCGCGGTTCCAGATGCAATCACCGGCCAGGTTGCACAAACGTTTTCATACGTCTTTTATTTTCTAAGTTCACATCGGTATCTACGATCTATACGTATCAGTCCCTCGCACACTTTCGATCTCAATACGCGCTCTAAACTATGAAATTAAAATAACTAATAGTAATTACAATTAAATTATGTACAAGTTTGGTATGTTAATAGACATTTGATATATCATACAATCGCAGTAACTCGCCTTAGGGCTGCAGGGTCTCGGACGTGGCCGTGGTCGACGCTGCCGATCCCCGCAGCATTAATTGCCATGCTTCTGTACGGAAATTAATAGCGTTACGTGTTCCTCGTAGAGATAACCTAACGTTAATATCGAATGCATACGTGCTCCGCTGGCTAAGGCGACGCGTTCGAGGGTTAAAACAAAGTCGGATCGGAGCTCGGAAGCAATCCTAGGTGACTTCGGCTCGATCCGCGGTCGCGGCCCCAACCTTCGAGTACCTCCACCTGCCGTAACCATCTACGAACTTTAAACAACGGTAAACAGCGGCGAACAGCCCGTGAGCGTCGTAACGGAATAGGATAAGCGAAAAATAAACGTCTCCTTAGAAAATTGTTAAATAAATAAAGGCGATCCGTAAACGGCTGTTGCCGCGCGTACCCACCCGAGCGTCGCCATTTTGGCACCTGAGTCAACATGGCGGCCCCTCGTCTAGGTTACGGCCATCTTGTCTTCCGATGGTCACGTCGACGCGTTACCTTCCAAAGATTCCAACGCATCCAAATTGCAGTTCCGCCCTAGTCGTGAGAAATCTTCGGACAGTCGGCCTAGGACCGTCGTATTTAAATCGTGAGTCTTAGTCGGCCTCTGGCGCGTTCGTAAATCAACGGTCTAATCCTAACCTAGGCTCGTCGAACTATCATACAAAACCGCCGCCGGTACGGTAGACGGCGCATCGTAAATTTCAAAGAGAGGAAATTATCATTCGGCAAAAATAGTAGTAGTAGCGGTAGCCGTGAGTGGACCTCGCCGAGACTTCCTCCTAGGCGGGTCCTGGCGAAGTCCGTGGATACAAGCATTTAGAATCGTAGGACTTGTGCGCAGAGTTTAGGACGTCGAGTTAAGTTTGGAGCTTTCGGACTGCTCGATCGCGGCTACGTGGTCGGGCTTCTCGCCCCTAGCGTAGCGTTCCCACATCTTTTGGTACAGCATCTCCATGCCCATTGCGTACATCTTGCAATTGAACAGCGGACTGTCCGAGCGAGCCTTCCAAACCTTGGCGCGCGTCGCCTTCAAGCTGAAAAAGGAATTCTCGGTTTGAGAATCGATACAAAATCTAGACGCGAGATAATTCAACGAGTACTCACTACTCCCGATCGGTGCCCAATCGAATTGCGATTTCCTGGTACTCTTGTCGCGTGCGTGCAACCAGTTCCGGGCAGCCCAAAGTGTTGAGCTGACTAGCGGCGACCCGAGAAGCCAAAGTTTCTCCGGGCAGGGTGACCACCGGCGTCCCCGTCCAAAGGACGTCCATGCTGGTGGTGTGCCCGTTACAAAGTGGAGTATCCAAACATACGTCGGCCAGCTGGCCGCGTCTAACGTGCTCCTCCTTTGCGGCCACGTTGCTAAACAAAATTCTACCAGGAGCTAGCCCCAACTGCTGAGCGGTCGCCTGGAGGTTCGGCTCGCCGACCGCAGGGAATCGCAGCAACCACAGCACCGCGTTGGGAACGTGTTTGAGAATCTGCGAGAAATAAAGGAAGACATTCGATCAAACGAATCGCCCGCCGTTAAGGTACGCGCAACGGCCAAGAACGATCGACCTACATATGCCCACATATGGAGAGTGAGGGGGTCGATTTTATACAGTTGATTGAAATTGCAGTAGACCACGGCGTCCTCGGGCAGGCCGTACTGCTGTCTCGTCGTGATCACGATGTTCTGAGGCACTTCTTCTCCCGTGGCGGTTTTGTTGTTCACCTGCGTGGTAGCCATACCGTTTTGTACGACCACTCCGTTGACCGACATCTGACACTGGCCGGATGCGATCATCGTCTCTATCGGCGTGGTGGTGGGCAGCTCGGCAACCTTCAGCGAGATCTCCACGGGCTTGTTGTTTTTTGCGTCCGGGACCACGACCTCGCGAATCTCTTTCACGAGGGTGTTTTCGATCATCGGCGAGAGATCGGTGGCGTTGATGACTGCGACGTTGTCGGCCACCTTGCCCTTCAAGTTCAGCTTGTCGGTTAATATCAGTCTCTCCTTAAGATGGGGGAACATTTGTCTGAAAAACAATTGAACACGATGCATAAACGGGCTACCCTCGATGACCCGTCTCCTCGTTTAATCCTAGGAAGATGGAAACGAACGACAGCGTTTCTAAAGTACCTGTGGTCTCCGATGAAGTAAGTATGAGGCATGTAGGCGAGCTTCTCGCTGTACTGACTGGCCAGCTCCAGAGGCGAGGTGACCTCGTCGGTGATGAGGTAGTCCATGAAGCTCGCCCCGGACGTTCCCGGATAGCCGAGCCACATAACCTGGATCGGCGCCGGTCTCAACGCGAAGATTTCGTTTCTGGCTCCCTTCGTGTAGCCGTTCATGTTGACGAGGATGTGGATACCATCGGCGTTGATACGATCGGCAGCCTTCCCGTTACACGGTATCTGGGAGAGGTCCACGAAGTGCTCGGACTCCCGAGCGATCTTAGCCCGGAAGGTCGTGCCGTCGTCCGAGCTCAGGGCATAGCAGAATATCTCGACGTTCTGTTTCTCGTGAAGCCCCGGAATGGACTGCATCAGATGACTCGTCGGATGGTTCCCGAAATCGGAGGAAACGTAGCCGATCTTCAACCTGGTGGCTATCTCGCGTGGATACTTGTAGGGCTGCTTGTGCAGCACGTGAATCTGAAAAGATCGTCGGGCGTTATCGCGTCGTTCCTAATCGTTTACGTCTCGATTGATCGTACCTTCTCGATGCACAGATTGGCGTGTCTCGCGGCAATGGCTTTCCTGAACTCGTGGGACAAGGGGTAGAGCATGGAATGATGAGGATGCACGCTGGGAAGCCTGTTCTTGTCGAGCTGCTCGGCAACGATGGAGACCAACTTCTTCATCCGGGCCTCGTAGTCGGTCCAGTCGCACACGATCTGCAGACAGTGTGCCAGGTTGCAGTACGCGTCCGGGAAGTCCGGCTTCAACTTCAGGGCGGTCCTGTAGGACTGGATCGCCTCGGGAATGTTCCCGGAGTCTTTGTGGATCGAGGCGAGATTCGAATGGGCATCGGCGAACGCCGGGTTGATCTGAATCGCTCGAGTGTAACATTGAAGGGCCCCCTGGATATCTTGCATCTCTTTGAGGGTGTTGCCCATGTTCGAGTAAGCATCCGCGAAAGTTGGCTGAATGCGGATGGCCTCCTTGTAGTGCATCAGGGCTTCGTTGAGCTTCCCTTGTTGCTGAAGAACCGAGGCCAAGTTGCTGTGGGCCGCCGCGAATTCCGGGAACACCTCCAGTGCCTTCAAGTACAGCCTGGTGGCTTCTTCAATGTAACCCTGTTCTCGTTTTATGTTGGCCTAGGGAGGAACACCTCGGTCAGTGGGCACTATTTGACCAGGATATTTCAACGACGGTTAAGGGCATCGAGGCGGTAGTTACCAAATTGTTAAGGGAGTCTGCGTGTGTCGGACACAGACGTAAGGCAGTATTGTAGCATTCCTCAGCTTCGACCACCTGACCCTTTTCCTTGAGCGCGTTCGCCAGGTTGCAGTACGCATCCGGGAAGTTGGGCTGTAGTTCGATCGCGCGGCGGTAGGTGTCGATCGCCAAGTCGATGAGTCTGCAAGCGACATATTATTTTTATTAATTTTAAATCTGCCGTGTACGTCTTGATTAATTATCCGAGGAAATCGTAAAGTGTCGGGCACTCACCCTTGCTCATAGTAAACGCAAGCCAGATTCCCGTGAACGACCGCATTGTTGGGGCTTAGATTTAAAGCACGCAGATACGCAGCTACGGCTCTGAAACAAAAATCGCAAGGTTGACGTAAAATCGCACAGAACTTGCCAACGGTTAATAAATACAAATTTCAACAATTTACAACGTCAACTGGACTTTACGAAGTCCAGCCACCGATCCGAGCAACAACGAGGGGTTCTTTTACGATAAGTAAACGGCAGCGGTGCGGGATCGTTGAGTGCACGCAAAAAGCGCATACGGCGTTATTGCATGTCGACCTTCGATTATAACGCGATCGACCTCATCACCGCCGCAACGAAGAGTAGGAAAAGCGAGGAGTTTTCATTTTCCGGTGCACGATCTAGTTCCCTCGGGTTATCGCTTGGAAAATAAAGTCTGGTTACTTTTTCTTTTTTTTTTTTACTTTCCTCGTTTTCACAAATTGTGCGACCGACGTCCATCGCAAAGGCCGGCAGTTTCTTTAGAAAATCGTTCCCAATGAAGGTTGTCCTCCACCCGGTTCCGCGCAACTTTCGTAATAAGCGAGAAAAAAGGAAGGGAAGAAAAGAGTAATAGCGAGGCCAATAACGACGCTGCCGTAAAAGTGGAAATAAAAATGAGACAAGCGTTTCTCGCGTTTGGGAACAACGGGGGTGAAGTGGGGGGGTAATGCGAGCACCGAGCCCGGAGGTCTTAAAATGATTTATGAACCTTTTGATCCAGGATTTGATCCAAGCTGCGCACCCTGGAGGCGTGGGCCTGGAGATGGTGCTCTCGAGTTGTAGCCTAAAAGAGGGGGCGACGGTGCTCGAGGGCGAGATCACCGTATAGACGATAACGCATTGGTACTCCATTCCTCGCCCATGTCTGGACCTTCTCCTATATCGTGGTGCCTTATTTCTCAGCGGGCGAAACCTTCCACATCGGTGTAAAACGCTTAAACTTATGTCCTTAATCGACTACCCGGAATAAAAGGCGTCTCCAAAGCCGAAGTACCGCTTGCTCTTTGCGGTGGAAACTCCGTATCCTGGTATCACGTTGGGCGCTCCCTCCTTCGCGAGGTTCTTCACCGTCTCCCAAAGGTGTCCCGTAAAAAAGTACATCTACAGGCGTGACTAAACATTGGCAAAACGTACGTCGATCAGTCTCTTGGGTGTCGGGCTCTAACAGTGATTTCCCGTCGAGGGTCCGAGGAGAACCGTCCTCTCGGTTTCCCCGAAGATCCCTGGACACTTCCGAGGGCTTTCCCCGGTGCTCTCAGTCTTTGGGATAGCCTCGATAAGCGCACTTTTTCAACCTTCGCTCGGCGTTGTCCTCGCCACCCGGATAACTCGGGGACTCCTCCTTTTCGAAATCCTCTCCTCGAGCGGAGGTTTCCCATTCGGGTCACGCCTCCGTTCCTTTTATTAATTCCACTTTAATCGGTCACGCCAACGGGAGTTCCTTTTTCCAAGGGACTCGTAAGTTCCTCCTCCCTGCGAGCTGGACCTGCGACACCCCGAGACGTCCTTATTCCTCTCTCCGTCGACGTTCGTCGTCGCTGGCGATTCCTTCGTCAAGCGTTTCTCGGACTCGAGCGCGCCATTATTGAGAAAGAGGGAAAAGCGCGGTCCCGCGCGGAGATGAATAATTTCTAACGATCGAAGATGCGGTAAAATTGTGCACGCAGGCCTCGGAGACACCAGGGCACGTTTCGACCCCTCGTCGTTCAGGGAAACTAACAAGGTTTAAATTGCGGCGTAGGGGAAATTGCAAACGCCGGGGGAGGAACCCGCGGCCAATGGGAATTCTCGCAGGGCACGAAAATACCTCGAGGGATCGATCGTGTCCTTCCTCGAAGCGGAAAATGAAAATCGGGGAAAAATGATGTCGCGTAAGGACAATCGTACGTATCGGGGCCGGGAAGACGAGGGAAGTATTTCCGAAAGGGAGGAAGCGAAGGCGGCATCAAGACATTTCGGAGCCAGCCGAGGCACGTATAGCGAATCGGATGAACAACCCCGCACTGGGTGGAATACAAATCAGCCTCTCCTTTCCTCTCCTTTCCTCGGGCCGAAACGAACGAGGGCGGAAATGGAAACAAATGCGATCTCCGAGCACCGAGGGAATTCCAGCCAGCCGAGGAACTCGCGGATACGTTGAAAAGAAACGGCGAAAATCGGGCGCCGCAGGATCGCGACTTTTAACCCTGGTGGAGGGGCAAGAGCGGAAATCGATGGAAAGGTAACTTTCCATCAGGGAACGAAACCTCGCTTGAGAACGCAAATTAGCTGGCGTTTTCCCAGGTGAAACGCGAGAGCGGCTTCGACGCGGCCAAGGGGCGAGATCGACGAGCGTGAGCGGGATTTCGGTCGGATAACCCCGCGGTTATCGAGTGATAAGATCGGATCGATATCTCGTGACGGGCCAAGCGGTAGAGACCTCGGACACGCGACTCCACGCGACGGAGAATCTCCAAACGAACGAGATTTTCCGCGAGGTAGACTCGTTCGCCATTCGCGAATAATCTCGACGAGGGATTCAAGGAAGTGAGAAATCCTGACCCGACCGTGTAATCGCGTCCGACAAATCCGCGAGAAAGCTCTCGCTAGACCTGGCGCGTCTTCCGAATAAATCTCTGGTAGGAGAAAACCGGAGAGATTCGTCGCATATTTTCCGCGTCGGATAGGAAAATTAGATCCTCAGGAAATTGATCGAAAACGCGAATCGACGATTTCGCGAGGTTCCGCGAAACGGTACGCCTGAGTTATTCCAAAAATGTATTCCTCCCCGCTTCCGGCCTCGTCCCGACAAGCGAATTTAATAATCCGCGGCGGTGATCGATGGGCGAATTCGCGAATACCAATTGGAATCGTTAAGAGGTCGGAGAGTTATTCGATTTCCGCGCGCCTGTCACGTCCGGGGGAGATTCGAATTCCTGGTCGACGGTCGACAAGGTGGCGGTGTATAGCCGGAGAGAGGAGAAACGAAGAGAAACGAAGAAACGACGGGAGTGCCGGCGACCGGTTCGAGGAGAAAGAGGTACCCTCCGGAGGCGAGAAGTCACGGGGAGGAGAACCGGACGGGGCATCGAGCGGCGGGCGGAAACTACGGACGACGCGTTGCGGAAACTACGGACTAAACTACCGACTGGCCGGCCGGCGGGAGCGCCAGTGGCCCGACGCCGGCCGCGACAGTCTCGACGCCGACGCCGCAGCCGCCGACGACGCCGACGCCAACGACGCCGTCGGCGCCACCGGGAGCTGCCGACGTTGCTAGGCGATTCGCGTCGCACCGGCCGCCTCTCCTCGACGAGACGAGACGCATCCCCGACAGGAGGCGACGGGGGTTTAAAAAAGAGACCGCCGCTCTCTCCGTCCTCGCTATCGTATCCGCGGTGGTTGAAACTCTCCAAATTCTGGCTCCCGGTCCTCCTCCACCCCCGGGATCCGAGATGGTGGAATTTTCCCCGGTTCCTCCGGGAGTGGATTCGGAGACGGGTTGGCGGCAGAAGGCAGGGATTTCGCCCTTTCGGAGAGATTTAGGTGGGATATCGAAAGGGACGGCGAGAGCTCGGGGCTTAACTTACAAATTCGACGGATATCGATCGGCCAAGGGTTTACGCTTCCCATTTGGAGTTTACGAGCTCTTGCTCGAGCGTTCCCTCTCGCTCTCTCTCTCCCTCCCAGGGCATTTATTAACGAGACGCTCCTCGAGCAGGGTGCGTATCGTCGTCTCGCCGTTGAATCTCCTTTACTCGCTAATTCGAGGCCTGGCAACTCGATCGCTCGTTAATGCCAACCCGAGCAAGGAGCCGCGGCATGAGAGACATCGTCGCGGCTTGGATTACGTGGACTCGCCCATAAATCCTCTCGCGATCGGGAGCGGAGAGTTTGCCAAAGCCTCGGCGGAGTCTCGCGCCAAGCACGCGGAGTCGACGCGGCGCAAACTGCGCCCTGCTAGAGCTCGATACGTCGCGGAGTTTCCGAATAGCTACCGCGGAAATTCTAGCCGTCGCGTCAAAGGTCAGAATTTCGAAACTAGCTCTCCGTGTCGCCGAGGCGGCATTCACGTGGCGAGGACCCTTTTAACATTGACGAAGTTGCTTCTGAAATATTCCACGGCCGAGATATCTCGGTCCCCGCGGCACGGCGGAATAAATTCACGCGAACCTCGCCGTATGCACGAGCATGCCCGTGGGACCACTTTACGCGTCGCAACGTCCCGTGCAACGAGCTCGGCCGGAAATCGATAGCGCGTCCCGTAAATCGGAGGTCGAGGGTAACCGGTAAATTCCGAGAGGGTGACCACCCCGTTAACGTAATCACCACCCGACTTCTGGACGGACCGTTTTAGGATTTGACTCGAGCTCAAAGGGAACTCCGTCAATTTCAGTTCTCACCGTAAATTAACGTCCTGCCCGGTCCGTCGGGAATCCCCGAGGGTGGAACACGGTTTCCGGCGGGGTGAAGAGCAAAGGGCTGACGTCAACGAAAGTATGTTAAAAGAAACCCTATGAAGTCGCCCTAAGTGGTAGTTACCCGGGATCAAGAGACGGTCCACGAGGTAAGAACACCGAAATAGGGCTCGAGGGGATGAAAAGCACAAAAGCTCCCCCCGATGGTCTTTGCAATCCGCCGGGCGGAACGACGAGCTCCACTTTTGGCATCCCTTCCTACCTCCGTCGTCCTCGTGAATTCCAACGAAAGCCAAAACTTTCTTACGGAATACGCGGGCGGTTAATTTATCCAAATCATTTCGAGCTCGGTAATGTCCTTTTCGCGGGTAGGTCTTATATCGCCTCCGCCGCGAGAGCTTACGCAAGCAGAGGAAATTAACTTCTTTGAGGGTAACCCCAAGAGGCTCGAGTGGAGGAAGAAAATTGTAATTTAAATTAAAACTCTATTCGAGGGCAAGTTCTATCGCGAGACGAGCGAACGCCTTGCCAAGTCGACGGAGTCCGTTAATTTCGGTCGTTTCGTCACCGTGGGGAGAGACGGTCGGAGGATTTACGGGAATTAAATCTCGACCGGTGCCCGCTCCGAGTCGCGACCGTAGCCGAGTTCCGCGGAGTTTCGACAAGTTCCGGTGATAGGAAGCTCTCGGCTCGCCATTAAAGACGAAAGGGGAAAGAAAATGCCGAGATGGCCGCTTCGATTCCCGGCCGAATTCCGCCCTTATCGCGCCCTCCCAGAGGCAAGAATCGGCGCCGGCGCCTTTCGCCCGGCCACCCCCGACCGTCCCGGCAAGGAAATGAATCTCCTTTGACCCAGCTTCTGCCGAAATATCCCCTTTCCCGAAAATGAATGCCCACGATGAATTCTCCGTGGCCATCCGGCGTAACGACTCCGGAGACGGGTTTCCCCGATTTCGATGACGGAGTAAATCTTCGGGTACATTTTTTATTTTTCTTTACTTCTTATTCGCGACATAAAACGGAGAAGGGCATCCAGGATTTCGACTCCGTGCTCGACCTATTTTTTTACCGTGTCCTCGCAATCAGAACACAGATCCACTTTACTTGAAGAATTACGTTGGGATTTGAATTACGTAGCTCCTCGATAAACGCAGCTCCGGTCTCGACGGAAAACGTGTACCGGCAGAAATGTACGACTCAAGACTACCGTTGGGCGAAAGTCGTGCCTCAGCGGAATAACACGAGTCGCGTGTCTCTCTTGCTCTCGCACGGAGTTTAAAACCCTTGTCTAAATGGATTTCGACAACGGCTGATCAAACCGTGCATGTTCCGTCGAGTCCTTTAGTGCGGACTCTGCTTCCGACCGGGACGCGTCGACGAGCTACGAGATATCCAGTCATAAACTTAAAAAATTCTCTCTGCCTTTCCTGCTTTTTAAGGACAACTTTTTACGAGTACTCGAATAAAAGCTCGGCCGAGTAAAAGCCCTACCTTCGACAAGGAACTGTTTAAGTCGGAGTTACGTCTCCGGGGACGTTCTTATACGTTTAACGGACTAAGAGTCACGGCAAAGGGAACCTCGTAGAAAGGGATCCCGAGAGAAGGTTAAAACGAGGCAAGTGCAGAGGAACGGTGGCAAATATTGACCGCCCAAAGCCTGTCTCTATTTCTTTCCCTCTCCCTCGGTCTTTCCACGTGTAAGCCCGCGATCGAATGCGCCACTGTCGCATCGCCGCGTGTACTCATTATGTAAATGGCCGCACGTATTCTATTTCAAAAAGCTGTTCAAAGGCTCATCTCGACCCCTGTTTTCTTTCCTTTCCTAAAACGGTGTATCGGCCGATGACTGCTAATAATTTAAATCGTTTAATTAACACTTTTCCGAGCCCGACCCGGAACCGCGGCCTTCGGGGAGATTAACCTTCTCGTCGAAGTCTCGTTACTCGATGGACTAGGCCAAGCGGATCATACGCATTGTACGCGCGATATCCGTCGTTCGTCCCGAGTAGCGTGTCGGGACACAATGGAGGTAAAGGCCGTTCGTGACATTGTACGCCTTCAACCGCGATAGAGACGGCCATTATCGTTACCGCGGGGTCCGAAGATAACTGCGATTCCGCAAAAGTTGGCGGGGCAAAAAGCAGGGGACCCTTAAGTAGATTTATCGAAGGCACGAGGGCCTCGGTGGACCGGCCGCCAATAATCGATACGACCGGGGAACCTAGCCGGCACTCCGACGACTGGCCAACGAAGAGGAGCCGGAATCTGATTTTGCACAAACCAGTTGGCCTTACTCTCCAATTTGAACGCGGAAAATGGATTATCAGCCTGGCCCCCGGCCTGTCGTTCGCTAACGAACGTCGCGCGTGGGAGGATTACAGGCCTCCGGTAGTCTGTACAATGCTACTCGGAACGCTATTGCTGTAACGAGAGGACGTCGATTAATTAAAATTAAAAATATTTGCCCGCGTCTCTTTTACGCTTTTCTTTTTCCTTAGATACATTTTTTAGGAATTTCCTCCCGAAGGCCGGGACGTTTAAAAGAGGCGAACCTCGTTGTTCCGAGCTGGCTTCACGGTGTGTCGCTTCTCGATGATCAAACGCGAGCCCGACACGACGCGAGGATCATACGGTCTTAATCCGTCGATACGTGGCAGAGTGGATTTTTTTTTCCTTTCGCTCAAAGCCGGCTTTTCCTCCATCCTTTTCCTCGGACTGGCGGAATTTTTTCCCTGGAATACCCCGGTTAAAAGAAGTGGCTGCAAACAACAATTTATCCAACTTCCCCCAACCCCGGGCTTTCATCCCTGAATACACTAAGTGATGCGAAAATATATGGTCCTCATAATTTGGAATATACCGAGAGGGTAACTTTTGTAGAAATTGAGTTTAGTCAAGAGGAATTTCTGCGCCTAGCTCCAAGGATAACTTTTCCATATCGCGGAATTTTATTCACCGGTAAAGTTGATCCTACAAGGGAAATGACTTCGTTGAAGTTCTCAACTGTCACAATTTCTTTCCCCCCGGAAAATATCCTCGACTCTGGTACTTAGTTTCTGGCGACATTTTACCGAGAAATAAATGTCTAAAAATCACTACCGTTCCTATTCCATTATTAGTAGTCACTAGTGATCGTAATTAATTTTCCCCCGTTCCTTTACGAGGGCGAGTTTACCCTAGTTTTTAACGAGACCTACCGGGCCCAGATTTTGTTTTAACGAAATTAACCCAGTTTATTTGCGTAACGCGTCCAATTACAAACTCGTAGCGTGCGGCAAACGCAGACGTACTCCTAAACTATTCTCTTTTTTTTTTTCTTTTGTTCCTCAAAAACCGTCACCTTTCCGACCTTCGTCAAAGCTGAAATGGTTTCCTCTCGGTAAACACAATACCTTGGTCGGGAAAAAAAAAAAAAAAAAGGGGGGGAAAAGACCCGAAGGCAATCCTCTTAACTTAAATAAATTACATCGGAAGCTCGCAAACTTCAATTTTAGGTGGTGCTTATCCTTTGTTTCCAAAGTAACTTCTTCGATGGCCGGGGGGCATAACTTCGAAAACACGTCGGACATTTGCTAGAAAACAAGTTCTTTTCCTACGATCCTCTGCGTTCACTGGCTCCGGTATAATAAAATTCTACTTCCAAGAAAAGAAGCGGAAACGAGCCTCGAAGCTAGCCTTCGAGAATTCCTCCGTTCATGGAAAATACATTCGACATCGGCCCGTTACTTCCGCTCAGCTTGTGGCCTGTTTGCCTTTTTTAAAGCGACTTAAAGAAAATCGATATCCCCTACCCAAAGCCAACGGTTCGCGAGTATTCGTGAAAATTCACAGGAGATACTTTTTTTCTCGAGGTATAAACAGCGTACCTGTCGAAGATGCGCGCCTCCTTCAGGACGTTGCCTAGATTGATGTAAGCGTCGAGGAAATTCGGATCCAAGGCGACCGCCTTCTCGAAGTGGTGAATCGCCAGCCATATCTCTCCCTGGGCGTTGAAGACGCATCCCAGGTTGCTCCAGGCCACCGCAAAGTCTGGGCGGGTCTCGATCGCCTTTAGATAGCATGCCTAGAGCCAGAAATGAGACATATTATGGACAGTGCTCGCGATTTTGCCAGGGACGCGCCGCGCGTTGCCCGCCCCCTCATCGCCGCGCCGCAGCTTTTCGGCCCCGAAACGCGTCAAAAATCCTCGGCAACGATATCGATGAAAAACAGAAAAAACAAATAGACCGTGGCTCTTTCGACCTACGTCCCGAGGTCCGAAAAAGTTCCCGGCACCAAAAAATGGTCTTTCCACTTAGTTCCCAGTGGCTCGGCTCCGGAAGCCACCGATCTCTAAAAAGTCAAGGAGAAACTGAAATTTCGTAAAAAAACTTAACGCGAAGCATCGTCCGAGGTTTTCGACGCGTTCGGGAACCGTCTGTGAAGCTCATTGAAGAATCACCCCGGAACCATCGGTCGTCGCCTTCGACCATCCGAAAATCTCACAACGCTCGCTCCTTGTTGATCCTTTACTCTCGCCCGGATCGGCGACTTCGTACGTTCCAGATATTTTCGTGGAAAGCGAAAAGGCAGTTATGGCACGTTCCTCGCATCGTTCGATTTGGCGAATTTCAGTAGAGTTTTGCTCTTCGGCCGAGGGCGACGACGGGAGGCCTCGGACAAGTCTGGAAAGGAATCCAAGGATTCTGAGCGATGACTCTCGCCGATGGTGGTAAGAGGTCTCTCCCTTCGTTAACAGATATCTCATTCTGGAATGATTAATGTGCGCCTAGGTTGGCCGGCACTCTTGACCAGTGGAGAGGAGGGAGTTTGGCGGTGCAGAGAGGCACAAGGTGCAGAGGCGCGCGTGGAGCGTCAAGATCAATCGTGATGGCGCCTCTCCGAAATGCGTCCGGTGGAGGCGCCAGCACTCTATGTATCTCCTAAAAATCTTTAATCCTAAACGTCGAAAGGAAGCTCGACGCAACCGGCCTCGAGAATGCCCAGTTCCAACATCGATAAAAACTGCCGAGTGAGCACTGCATTGCACGTTTTGACGGATGACACTCCAAGAGAAAAGAAGAAGCATGAGTGTGAGTCGCGCGTACCGAGAGGCGGGCTGCATTTTTTTTTAACAGTATAATCCGTACCTAAGAAATAAATAAAAGGGGATTTTCAGTTGGCCGGTCTCTAAACAGGGCACAGAGATTACATGTATCATGACAGATCAACAGGGAGCTTGGACACCGAAGAAGTTCATGACTTGTTGGATTTTTGTTTTTTTTTATCGACACCAGGGATGCGTCCAAATGAGCGGATACTTATTTCGCCTTTCTCTCTGTCTTACAAATAAATGACTTTCATCCTTATGATATTCCCCTTTTACTCGAATTAACAATGTATCATGAACCAGACTCGGCCTCGCTGCTCCGTGAATAAAAATGTCCTCGATAGGGCAGAGACCGGCCGCGGGAACTACTTTACCTTCAGAGTACCCTTTGGTAGGTTGATGGTAGGTATGGGTCGCAAGCTCTCATAATAAACTTAGACTGAGAGACAGTGTGTGTTACTGAATAACCAGATTCAGATTCACCCTTTGACGAAGGAACCGGCGGTAACCGACCAATCGCATAGCTCCGAGTTCCCCTCCTAGAGTTGATCATTCCATCCACAACAATAAGACAGCTGCGTTAATCTCTCTTCACCACAACTTCACCTCAACTTTCTTTACACCTAGTCTTGTTTGCTACGAGCTGCACTCGTCAGCCACATTGATAGCGTACCGAGTCGAGCCAGATTTCGGTCCAAGTTGACAATTTCGTCTTGATATGAGTAAGTATCTGAACGACTATTTTTTTACTTAAATTTTTTTTTCTATTTTGTTTTTCTTTTTTCTTTTTTTTAATTGAGAGAATCAACCTTTTTTAAAAGCTGCTCCGTGGGATCGAATATTGAGAGAAAAAATGCGTGGCTGATCGAGTGGAAAAAAAAAAGTTGGAAAAAGTAAGGAGCCAGGGAGCTCTTAGGAATGGCGGAGAAATTAGCAGAAAACTTCCCTCGTTGCCGTTGTGCCCTTAATCATAGAAAATGCGTTCACGGAATGAAAACGGCCAGACTAGTATCAATAAATTGAAAGACCTTACAAGACATTCATTTTTTTTTTCCACCGATAAAAGGAAGTTCCGTCGTTTTTTTTTTTTTTTTTGGACAACTTCATTTGTGAACGCACCAAGTCATGATCGCTAGCGCCGCGCTGCAGCAGACTGCTTGACTACGACCGTGAAAAGTAGCTTCCCGTTGTTTTATCCAAATTGAAATAGAACGTCAGTGAAACTTAATGAAAGACCTCCAAAATCAATATCAAGAATCACTGACTTAAAACCAATCCCGACATTCAGTCAAATTTAATGTTTTGAAACGGTTCCGAGCACGATCGCGAGAAAAACACGATGGCCTTATTTTTCAGTCAAGCAATCTCGCGCCAATAATGCCAGATGAAACAAACTACTGCAAAAAGAAAGTGATGCTGTACAAAAAAAAAAGACGATTAACAATGAAATGATATCCCGTGGCAGATCTATGTATTATAATCGCGCGCGTCTGACCCCATGACGCGATGACCGATGCAGCTACCGCTAGTTTTGGTCAATGTAACTACAACGCTGCTATGCTTCCCAAAAACGGAAAAGAATTCCCGATTAGAGCGCCGATCATTGCGAATGGGGCCAGCGGAGTTCAGACAGATTCGCAGCAACGTCACATGCAAATGATGCCGCGAGGTTCTCGTGAGGGTGCTGCGAGTCGCGCATTCGCCAATGTAGTTTCCACGCTGCCTCCGACAACTTCAATACCTAGACCCACTCGTTCTATGTGTGACGTAGTTCGACTGCCTTCGCAAAATATCATTCAGTTTAAAACAAATCAATTTGTCGCTCTCCTTGGACAGTTCACTTATATTCTACACCGTATCGCTTTCATCAAGAGCTCGTGGCAATGAGCGCCGTCACATATAGTACGTCGGGGATTTCGAAAGGGCGAGGATGTAACATAATAGTTTGGTCTGCGATCAAAAAGTCACTGTGCTGAAAGGAGAGATACAACAGGCGATAGATACAAGAATTTGAAATGCGTAAATCAGCGGCAATTTTGATGGCAGATGTCGCACGCCGCGCGCATTATTCCACAGTGGCAACGAAAGACAGCTTTCTGCGTGTGAGCTACTGCAAAATGGAGATATTCGCTCTGTGCATTCCTAAGAACTGCGCCAGCCGGGACACATGCACGTTATGCATTCGTATTCCGTTGCTATTATGGCCAAGATCTTGCGAAAATCCCGAACAATTTTTTTAATTATCCATTGCCTCTTTAACGATTCATTAACGAGGCGACATAATTCCGGAAATCTAATTTCCATTAACTCTGACACGGGTAAAAATTTCAATGTAGATGACTAAACCTTTGGCTCTTACAGGTCGTTTTTTTTTCATTTTTCACACGCACTCGAGTGGAGTACCAATGCATATTACGGTGACACGTGGAATTAGCATCCAATGGTAGTAACATCGTCTTTGAACCTACCTTGGCCTCGTCGAGTCTTGCTAATGCTTTCAAAAGATTACCAAGATCGCTCCGCACACAATAGAGATCCTGAAAGCATAATGCCTCTATTATAGTTAACAGAATTTAGAATTCGCTTGGTGGAAAATTTTTCATTTTCGTTTTTTCAATCTGCCAATAAAATTTTTCCACCAGAATTAAGCAGGAATACAGAAGCGTTGTACTAACAGGGTTGTACTGCAGAGCGGTGACATATGCTTGCACCGCTTGTTCCATATCGCCTGCTGCTACCAGACCTGCAGCTAAATTGATGTAACCATCGATGAAGTCAGGTTTTAATCTAACAGCGTGTCTGTAGTTCTCAAGCGCCTCTTGCAGTTGACCACGCTCCTTGTAGACATTCCCTAAATTGCTGTAAGCCTCTGCTAGTAGAGGATTCTGTTTGATGGCTAATGTACTATATTGTGCCGACCTGGATGGAAGAACAAAATAATTAAGAAACGTCGATCGATCGAAGTCACATATGCACCCACGATTCAAATGTAATTCTAATAGATTTTCCATAACTTACTTTTCAAGCCTACGACACTGAAAGTGTATCGACGATAAGAGTAGCAGAACTCCGGTGTTGTTCGTCTCTTGCCTCCATAGTTGCATACAGTGTCTCTCGGCATTCTCGTAATCCCCAGCCTGGTATTCTCTATGAGCGAGCTCCAACAACCCTAGAATCACATTGAAAAAATTCTTAATGCATATTACTCCACCTCCATAGTATCCACATACTCAAATAAAATCCAGAACGTTCTAAAGACTCGACATCGATATATGATATTCCAAAAGAATCGTATTCTATGGCCACATGTGTACTCCATTACTATACTTAATGTTGCGACAAAGAATTACTGCACGAACAATATGAGTCCAGGACGAAGTTGATCGTTTGTTCATCCGCGAGAGCTATCATTTCTTTGCCCTGAGAATCCTGGGTGACGACCAGTAAATTCTGTGCATGCTGCCAATCGTTATTGCCGGTCATCTGTGAGTCCTCGATTCCACTGTCAACCACGCTATCGTGGCTTTTCACCAGGTTCACGGTTTTCTCCGTTAATTGCGCACTCATTTTCGCCAGGAAGCGACGCCGCGTTTACATGCGAGGAAGCTCGACTCTCTCCCTCTCGCTCTCTCTCTCCCTTCCCCTATAACAAGGACGCGTCCAGAAATCCAGGAAACTCCGATACCGAGGCACGCCGAGAAATCGACGCCAAGGAAGCCGAATACGTTGCAGGAACGTAGCGAGGATCGCGTGTACGCGCGTGACAGTCTTCACGAGACGAGATGATTTTTCTTCTTTCCGTGTGTCCAGGTTATCCACGCCAAGGCTGGTAGAAAGGCGGAGAGTAGGGGCAAGGTAGACGGGCCCGGAGGTTGGAGCAGGCGCGGGGGTCGGGGATGGAACAAAAAGGAGGGAGCCACCAGGGTCGGCTACATCGACGCGGGGGAAGAGTTCAAAGACCATTTGGGATTTTTCCATGAATCCTGCCCAGAGTAAGGGGACTACCGAGAAGGATACATACGATGAAAATTAAGTGTCCAAAGGAACAAATGCTGTCCGACAATATTGGTAACCAAATAACGACTAAACTCAGATTATCCGAGAATAACAGCCATGTAAGCGTTTAACTGGACAGAGTTTCCCAAGAATACTCCGAACGACCTTAAAATGACTCATTGGGAAGCGCGTCTGTCCAATATAAATGTTTTAACAAATATACGAAACAAACGCTTTCGCCTCCTGTAATAATTTTGTAAATTTTGTGAGCATGGCGAGGGTAATGGCTACGCTAGAGCCGCACCTGGCATCGGAGGCTAACGAAGGGCTGTCCCCACTCTCGGCGCGGAAGGCAGATGGAATCGGTGCTCAGTGGAATATTCCGTCGGTTTAGGCAGGACGGCCGATGGCCGGGGAGGGGCGGAAGGGGAGGGGACCGTAGAACTCGTGCTCCTGTAATGCTTCAGGAAAAACCACGGACAAAGAGAGGGAAACTCGATGGAACGTATGGGAAAATACGAGGCTCACGGACAAAGAGCTTTGCCGATGACACCCAATTCCGATAGTTTTTATATGGATGGGCTTTTACGTATCGGGCCGACTTTTATGGTCTAATCCTTTTACGCGCGTCCGTAGAATCGTAACTTTCTTAGCTTTCCTTAATTTTTCCTCGTCCGTTGAGTAGGTACTTTGGAAAATTTGTACGCAGTCAACGTTTCTTAGTCCCCTGACCTTTTTCGCAATGCCGGGGGTGGAGATAGAGAGCGATAGAGACCGAGAGAACATGTAGCGAAATACAGAGGTCATTTCGAACGTCGTATCTGGGATATTTTTAGCAAATATGGAGGAAGTATTACTAGACGTTGTTTTACAGGAAATTATTGTAGTTTTTTTTTTTCCTTGTTTCGAGGAGCAATCTTTTACAAAAGTGTTGAAAATTAATATTCTATGGGGTTTTAAGATATCGGCATTAAAGAAGGCGGTAAAGCGCTCTTCAAGAGATTCCATTTGTTTCACTTTGTTCGCAACGTTCGGCTCTGACAACGATTAAAACCATTTATTATTTTAGCTTGAATTCTAACATCTGCCGTGGAAAAGCAAAACCGCAAAGACTACGTATCATATCCGACCGACGAATGCAATTCTTTTCTCCTTTCTGCCTTTCACCGGTACGAGTTCCTCCGATACATGTAAAAACGTTATGAACCAACATTACGCTCCAGGACAATGCTCTCTCGCATAGGCGAAGTAGTCGAAGCCCAGTGGCTCAGTTATAATTTGCGCACTATAATCGAATACGAGGAGATCCATATTTTGGCTCCGCAGCGAGTGCAACGTTGCCGGAATCCACTGCGCGCATCTGCCAGATCTCCATGATGGAGCGCCTGCAGGCCGTCATGCACGCCTCGAAAAACCACGAGACATTTTCTACACGTACCCACGGTTGACAGCTGCTGTATTTCGTTCATTTTGAGGATCACGCTGGCGCCTGTGATCTGCTGGTGGCCTTGTTGCTGCTGCTGCTGTTGCGCCTGCATCGAGAGTCCGTCCGATAAAAAACACTCCGAGCGAATAGCTGCTCCGGTTGCGACCGTAGCACTTTTGCGTCGTCCTTCTTGCCAAAAATGCGGTCCTTTTTGCCTTCTAGATTCACAGATGTCTACCAGCCGTCCCTTGGATTCGTTTACTCCTCGGAGTTCGAGCGAATCGTCGCGATCCAGCGATGTTACGTTCTACACTCATCGGCGAGAGCACGAACGCGATCTCGGAGTAGCCGCCATATTGTTTTTCAGAGACTCGCCACGGCTCAGGAGAAATGGCTTCCGACAACGAGTCTTTACGTCGAAGAGGTTTCACGGTACAACTCCAAAAAATATTCGAGGCGATCCGAAGCACACGGTCACGCTGCCGCAGTTCTCGGCAAACTAGAATTAGGATGTGGAGCTTGGGAGCGATCGTCTGGGTTCGAGACGTGCGCGAACCAGCGCGGGAAATACGTCATGGCGGCGGCTCGGTCGTTTTCGCGGAAAGTATGATTCGCAGCCGGAGCTCCGATTTTCTGGAGAGCTTTCGGTTGTTGGACGAGAAAATTGTACCCCATTCGACGGAATTTAATAAAATAGAAAACGTGATTTTTCTTCTTCTTGTGAACTATATAAAAAAAAAAGAAGAAGAAGAAACAAAGATATGATGTCAATCGATATACGGTAGCTTTCCTATCGATTCATGTTTTTCTTGGTCAGAAATACTTGTAATAAAAATTAATTTCGTCGATGAATTCATAACATGCGACGTTGTTATAGAAAATACTAAGTTTTATTTAAACGCAGTTTTAAGTTGCCTCGTCTAAAGCAAACGCAAAATTACAGTGGGTTCGTTTAACCTTGCCGGTTATAAATTGAAGGTCCTCATTTCTTCCGCGCGTTATCGATTAGCTGCCTTACACGACGGGGCTTCTTAGAGTAGAATACTGCAGCCGCAACGATGCGCGTTGACCTCCTCGAGTATTTGCGTTGGGAGTTGACAATGGCGATATTCTAGCCTGCAACGCACGATTGAAAAATTTCTACCAGTACGTCATCATTTATTAAACGTTAAATCATAAAATAACGTGTTCTGATTAAATAATCATATGAAATTTGAAAGGAAAGCGAGTAAACGCCGATATTGAGTTTATTAAATTGTCATCCACGTGCGCTAAATATTGTGCACGGCGTGGGAACTATTTTAAGACCTCTTTGATACTTCTGCTTCAATTCCGTTAAAATATCCTAACTCGAGTTCTAACGTTAAATGAAAAGGAGATAGGATGGTCTTTTGATAAACCGAATGGGGCGAACGAAGTGACGTTGAGGTCCAACTCATTTCTGTTGAGGTTCGGTTGCAACGCAACATTAGCGCCCCCTGGATCTCCACTCCTCGATACCCGCAGCGCCATCAGCGACCGGATGTCAAACCAAGATCAGGTTCCTACCTCACTCTTCCGTCGCTCGCCGGCATTGTATGGTTTTGTGCACCGTTCTCGCGTTGTTTTATTTAATTTCTGAGTACATTATGTCCGAAAACAAAGAGCGCACTTTCATCATGATCAAGCCGGACGGCGTGCAGCGCGGCTTGGTCGGAAAAATCATTCAACGCTTTGAAGAAAAGGGCTTTAAGCTCGTTGCTATGAAGATGGAGTGGGTAAGTCACCGAGCAGATGCGGCACGGCGCTTGCGCCAGCACTTTGCATCGCGACCACGTGGCCATCTTTGAGTATTCGCAACGACGAAAGTGTCACGTTTCGGTGCTTGAAACGGTTTTTATAAATACGTATTTTGCTAAACGTACGCTGTAGTTGTTCCTCTGTCTGGAAATCACATTCTTGCGCTCAGATTAATCTAATGGGATTATTATACGTAATTATATAACCAGTAATAGAAGGCATATATAATCTAGTTGGAAACAGCTCTCATACACGGTTTGACTATAAAATAATTGTTTTCGTGTTGCAGGCGACGGAGGACCATCTTAAAAAGCACTATGCAGATCTTGCCGAGAGACCCTTTTTCCCTGGTTTAGTAAAGTATATGAGCTCTGGACCTGTAGTCCCAATGGTACGTTTAATCGCGATAAAAACTAAAGTTGTGGTGAATTTGTACAGCAGTAAAAATATATCGTCATAAATTGCAGGTTTGGGAAGGCTTAAATGCAGTGAAGACAGGCCGAGTGATGCTGGGAGAAACTAATCCTAAGGATTCTGCACCTGGAACTATTCGAGGTGATTATTGCGTCCATGTTGGAAGAAACATCATACATGGCTCTGACTCAGTTGAGTCTGCAAATAAAGAAATCAAATTGTGGTTCGGTGAAAGCGATAAGAAACAAGTTGTCGATTGGGCATCCTGGGCTGAGAAGTGGATCTACGAATAAATATAATGCCATTGCCATTAATCATTCCTAGGCTTTATCACAGTTTTATGGTAAAACGTGTCCTCTGTGCTGCTTTGTGAATTTTTAATTGTCATTTTATTAATTACCTGTAAAATATGCCTCCGAACAATAATAAAGCGACATTCATACAGCATCTCTGCAAATGCTTATAATTGCTACTAACTTATCACTGTGATTCATACAATATACTTATTTAGACATAATACAACTTAATCTGGACAGTGAATCATAGGCTATAAGTTGATTATCTTTAACGTATTGTATTTATTGAATAAAAAATAATTTACAAGTGTATGAAAAGCAGTACAATTTGACAATTTGTAAACTTTATACAAAAGGTAAGCAAAATTAATTTCAATTGTATTTGCGTTACTTATATTACTACTTTTAGAGTTTTATTTTTATCAAATGCTATTGATAGAATTATTAGAGCACAGGGTGGAGCACAGATTTTTCAGAAATCTTGAAAACATCTTTTTCCACCAACTGTCACTTATTATTATACTTTTATATATATATATGGAAAGAATGGAATTAACAAATTGCAATTGTAGATTAAATACTGTCTTGCTCGCTAACAGGATTCTCGTGCGACGTATTTACCGTTTTAAAAAACCATTAAACGGTATTAGAGATGCTTTACATTATTCTTAGTCTTCTTGAAGCAGGAATACACATTCTTGGTTATCTTTAAAGGCGCTTAATTTATATGTAACATATAAGGAACTTACGTAAGCATATACCTAGATATGTCGTACATAACGTGTTGTATAAAAAAAACGTATATCTTTACAAAACATTTTTGTTTTTGTCAAAAGAAGACAACATGGAAGAATGAATATATCAAGATTATGCGTTAGAAATTAGTAAACAGGAAAAGTTGAAAATGTTGATCTCTGTTCCAAACTCCAATTACATAAGACTAAAACACTTCATACCATCCCTTGAGTCATTTGCTTTCTTTGGTGGAATCCGAGCCTAACTGTCATACTGGCCAAGAAAAGCATTACAGGCAGGACAATAATGTTTTTTAATTAGGCAACTGTCTATGCAGTAAGGGAATGGTGCACAGGGCCAGCATCTGTAAGAGAAACGAAAACGAGACGAAATTAGTATTCATACTAAGATCAGAAGCGTGCACTTAATATACAAGTCTAATGGCATTTGAGTTTTCTAATACTCCCTTCATAAATTCTGTATTATTTTATGTAGGTTTACTTTACCCGATTAAGCACAGTATCAGCGCGAACATGTGAGTCTTTGTACCAGATTCCTGCATTACCCGAGTGGAAATGGTCGCATGACAAAAAGGACATGTCATCGGCATTGTATCCGGACCAAATGTCTGTGTCTGGATGATGACTACACCTGAAAATTTAATTATACATCATAGCCCAAGATGTGCATGAATATTTCCAAAAAATATTTATTAATTATTAAAATCGTTACCAGGCTGTGGAGGTACATGAGAGGTGTAGGGTGGAGGTGGCATAAAACCTGGTGGCGGAGGTGCGTTCTTGTCCATCTTGTTGGTGACTTACTTCTGAAAGCATAAATATTGTCGATCACTATCCACCCGAAGACCTGTGAAACTTTGTCGTCGGCGCTGAATCGTCCTCCAAGGATTAATACATTTTTATTAAAATATAATTAATTAGGAAGATAAGGTGCCATTTCGGTCTAAGTCCAATTTCCGCAGATTTCACTCTACCGTTTCACCAGCGCTCAGTGTTATTCTGCGGTCCTATGTGACTCATATTCGCCCTCGTATCGCGTTTTGAAAATGCAAGCAAAAGGTTCAGTAATGTTTCTCAGAGACGTGATACCGCAGGTTCCGATTACACATACGACACACAGTAGCGCGCACATCTACACTACAAATGCGGATTAACGTTACGTGACCGTTGCATTGTTACCGTCAGAGCAGCGATAAGGAGCAACCGAGCGAATTGCTGATGGAATTACCGGCCGGCACGGCGTGGAGCTCGTAGTCGCCCCGAGGAAATGAAGACTTCCCGTCAGTACTTGCGCAAAGTATAAGATAAATACATGGAAGGATCGATGAGCTTCAAGAATACCGAGCGATTAGATATGGCCAGATAAGATAACGCGTTATTCCAGGAAGTCCTTCGCCGATTGGAACACGATTTAACAGGAAATGAAGTGAGAAAAAGTCACGTTATAAACATTTGCGCCAATTTGTACTATCCTATTTCTAATCAGCGGGTCAAAATACATGGGTATACGAAGTTTCAAATTAATCGGAGGTACGGTCCGACTTTTAACTTTATCTGCGATTATAAATTATACATGACTGCCTTTCCAATGTAACGTAGCCCCGGATGAAATCTTAATCAGACTGACGAGTTGCGGCCCAGCGCGGAACTTTTTCCTCGACGTTTGAAGATATGGCTGACGCGTTAAACGGTTGTTTTTTTTTATTTGCATACAGGGGATACGGCCAGAACGATTTGGAATTCCTTGAAAGAATCGACTCGACATGAGTCATTCGTTTTTTACGACACAGGGACATTGACGCACACCATTGTGACGCGGTTCCATTTAATGGGTAAGATAATATCGTCGACCTCGATGCATCCAGAGCGCAATGAATGAGAGTCGAGAGCGCCCAACAATTTTTCGAGACGAGTCCATCTCGTATTTGGACGGAAAAAAAAAATGAAATAACGAACGGTTCGCGGTCGCGATCGAGCACACTTTCTAGCAATGTTTGCTATCCTATTTTCTCCGGGATTTCTTTTAAATTTCGTTACGCAGCAAAGACTTCCACTCTATCGCGCACAGTAATTTAATATACGTCCCCGATCCATAGCACGGTCGCTTATCTATACCTAGGTGAACGTACATATAATCACAAATACTATAGGGTCATGTTACAAGCACCTGAAGCCAAACAATGAAATTCAACCCATTGATCAACGATTAGCCAACGCCATTAAAAATATTAAAACCCAAGGGAGTTCCAGGGTATCGTTTCTTTTTGTCACGCAAGATCGATAAGACTCGCGACATAAAACGCGCTGCAAGCAAGGCCAAATTTTTATACCCGCGGTTCTCAACCTACCGAACATTTTCGAATCTAAGCGCCTTACACGAGTCATTACTACGTACTAATTCGCGCTATACTCTGTATTTTTTGCGTAACGTATTTGCCCTCGAGACGACCGTCTTGCAACAAGACACGTGCAACAGGTACACATACATGTCTTCGTTTGATGCAATAAATCGGAACTCACGAAGCACCCACGATTACCTCGATATTAATTAATACCGCTTATATAAATTGAGATTCCAGAGTGTGCGATGGAAGAATTCAGAAAGGAGAGAAAATCCAAGTCGCGGATACAAAACACTCTACGCGTTCAGCGACTTTGATAGGTATAATTAACTTCCTGAGTTGCGTAATTCCGTCAATCAAGTAATTGTACCTTGATGGAAGTGACAATACCAGTAATTACGTGTATTTTATCACCGTTGCGTTCCCCTTCAATCCTTGGTTACTTATTTTGATTCCATATCTATCTGCGACGATGCGGTCGGTATACTTAAACCATTAGCAATTCAAGACGTGTCCAAGAATCGACCTTGTGCTCCAGAAGACGACAGCAACGCGCAGGTTTTGGAACGCGGTCCGCATCGTAGCGTCGAGCCGCTTCGCAGTGACTTTTCCCATTTCCATTTAATCCGTTGGTTGAATCAACGGAAAAAAAAAAAAAGAAAAACCCATACCTCTTCCCTTTAATCACCCATTTTATTTCGTTACGTGTGATACTCGAATACAAAGGAGAATCCCCTCGAAGCGGTTTCGACGTGTTTGAAGATCGGATCACATGCACCGAAGTATATTCGTCACATGCCGAACCGTACTTGCAATAGCACTTGCGATTTAATTTCACCGTCGCATACTTACGAGGCTTCCGGCACTTGCGATACGTTCAAAGTCGCTGCCTCGACTGGCGACGAGGATTAATCGGAAGGATGAGCTCGTGTGAAGAAACTTTCCACTCTGGAACGTTCTCACGTGTTTTTCTATCACCGCCGGGGACAGCTGCGGGTAGTCGACAATGCGTAGACAAATTGTAGGCAGGGCCGCGGATGCCGTGCGTGCCGCTTGCCAGGAAGAGACCCGGACCCGAAAGACGCGTCTGCGTGGCCGAGAACTGTCGAGGAGGAACTAAAGCTAACTAGATGTTATTTCGCGAACCGGACTCACGAGCGACGCGCGCGAGTGTTCCGATAGACAGTGACGTCGACAGCCGTTGGGCCGTCGAACAAAAATTACGTTACGCAATCTCACAAAGGCCGTATTTTATCGGCAGAATTCGTACACGATAAGGCAGCCCAAAACACGGTTTTCAAATTCTGTTATCGAATGAGCTTATCGACCTTACGGTTGCTGGCTAATTTTTAAGGTTAGGGTGGATTTTAGTGGAGTCCATTGGATATTCAGACTAGCGGGTTGCTCGCTGAATGGTGAAATTGCTAATAATTGAATTGATTTTGAGTAAGAGGCGATTTTTGTAAATCTTACTTACCGTCAATGGGAAATTGTACGCTGTTACGCCCAGTGGTGTGTTGGTAAAATTGGCCGTACGAGAGATTTTCGAGTCCGTAGGTAACGTCGGTATTTCCGGAGTGATGGAGTTTCGACTCTATTGTTATGAATGTGGTTAGGTATCCGGTCTCCAGAAGGCGGCGCTGCATCGCTAACGGCTTTCGGAAGCATTGCCTGCTTTCTTCCTCCACTTCGATCTTCCGCGTCTACCGTGAGCGTCTCTCTCGCGTCGTAGCCTGTCTCCGTTGCTCTCACGCGACGAGCCCGGTGAAAGTTCAGCCGCCGACCACGAGGGCGCGTCGTAGTTTGTTACAAGATGGCGGGTGAGTGAGTGCCTGCGGACGAGAAGAGACTGCCTCTAAGCACGAGGGAATTTTCCTCTAACCCGGCCTGTTTGTGGGTTTCAGATATATCCTACCAACAGAATGAAGACCTGGCAAACTCGGAGGAGGGTGAGTCCCAGCGAAACTATCTTTCCTCGAGGTTGTTCGAGTCCGGGAAGTGGCGAACCGTCGGCGTGGTGGGCCCACCGCCGAACCCGTGCCAGCCTCTTGGCGTGCTCCGTGAGTGCCGAGTGGCGCCTTGCCTCGCGGCTGCACCGAACCCGCATCCTCGCCGTGAGTTTTAGAGGTTAGGTCGAGCCGAGGGCTGCTCGCTCTTCTCGCGTTTCCTCCGTAATTTTCGAGAAACGCCTCTTGAGCTTTCAACGATCCTATGCCGAGACCGAATCTCGACGACCAGCTAGGTTTTCTGTCCTGGCAGAAGGTCAAAATCAGTTTTGCTTGTTTGTGGACGGTAGCTAGAAGCCTTAGACACCTTGCACGGTTGCTGGTTACGTACTTTCGAGGGATCGTTGCAAGCTACTGGCGATGTCATTTGGTAAAACCGGAGGAGGTCGAACAAAGCCAGTCAAAGGGGGCTAGCCCGTTTGAGCTGTCAGGATAGATATCGTTACACGAGTTGTCATAAAATCATTTATACATCCGAAAGGATATCCAAAGGCGAAGATGTTTGTTTTGAAATTTATTCGTTATTCTTCGACAGAGAGAGATCAAGCAAAACAACTCGTGCCAAATTATTTGTTTAAGAACTTCCATCCAGGTCTTGTCCGTCTTAGAGGTTAGGTACATCCACTCCGTTTGTTTTTTTTATTCTCTTGAAACTTTATAAAAACATTTAAGTATCTAATAGTTTCGAGACAAGCTGAAATCTTAATGGTGTGCGATCATGTAGATACATAAATATTCTGAAGTAATATTTAAAGGATTGAAAACTACATTAGACGAGAAGACGCGTTCATTGGATGTGACAACCTGAAGTATCGAAAAGATTATCTAGAATTTGCAATCTTTAATTACAGTCAACAAGATGTAACGATATAAATGAAAGCTATAGTGCGCCTTATTCCGTGAAATATTCAAATTGACCAGAATTGCGAGCATTGCTGCCGTTCTTTTTTTTCGTGTAAGGATTGAGATAAGGGAAAGGCAAACAGAGAGAGGGAGAAGGAAAGAATCTGGCTCGCGTCCACGGAAAAGAGCGAGAACGCAGAATTCGTGTCCTTATCAGGGAGCTAGACTCCGGTTTGATAAAGGCCTCAGGACGGTTCGTCTCTCTCGCGCCCCCTCTTCGAGGATCTTCCTCTCTTTCTCTCCCTCTTTCTCCGTCATCCAGCTGTTGCTACTGGATCGTAGCTGCTCCTAGCAGGCTTTATCTAACATTCCAGAGGTCGCGTATCGGCTCTTTGGCCCTCTCGCTCGATCCGCGGCCGCCGCGATGGCGCTGCGTATACGCGGGCCGCCATTTTCCACGAGAGCGTGCTCGGGATTCTTGGATTTCGCGAATTCCCATTAAAACGTAAATATCAGCCTTTACGACTTTCCCTTGCTCGTGACGTTTGCTAGTCCCGTCTCGACGGATCTCACGGTAGATGCCGCTGACATTGCCCGGTTATCGTCGAGCGGTTTTCCCGGTAATTGTCGAGTACTCGGTTGACTTTGAACCGTAGAAACGCGAGTACAGCTCCTAGACTCATTCTTCCACTGCCGGTTTCTCGGAAGCGAGCGTGAGATCACGGGGTGACTCGCGCTCTTCGTTGGAATTTCGTTCGACACGCGCGCGAGTCACATTCGTCATTCTTTCCCGGATTCCTCGTTCACAGCCTCGGCCGAGGTATTCGTCGTTGCGGAAGTTACGCGTGCGCCCCCCTGCTCGCTGGTGTTTATCTCGGCGGGGCCTCCTCGCGGCCGCTCCATTCGGCATTGGATCGGCAGAGATACGCGGCGTACCTCGAGTCGTTATCGCGCACTCTCGTTAATTCACGTAAAATCAAGCGAAATTAACCGAGGCGCCTAAATCTATCCCGAGGTGAATTGATCAGGCGTTCCTTTGCGAATTCTTATCACCCGTGACAACGCACAAGGTGGCTCGATGCTCGTCGGACGAATCAACGTGGCGTTTGTCTCTTGTCCTTGTCTTTGGGGGGGTAATTTCGAAACACCCCGTTTCAGTCGATCCCTGCGCGTATCCGTACACGCGGGCGCGCGTACGGACGCAGGGAGAGAAACTTTAATTTCTTGGCATCGCTAGAGGAGAGTTCCTTGCCCTTTCAGTCTTTTCAGATCGGTGGTCTGTTTTTGATAGGAGGCCACGTCGTCTAGACACCGGGGGTTGCCCGGACCTTTTATAATCGCAACGAAATGCACCCTTCTCCTGCAAAAATACCGGTTTCGCCCCCCCCCCCTCTCTCCCTTCCACTCTCGGTCCCTATCTCCCTCTATCTCGCTCTCGTTCCCCCGTGCCACTCTCGTTTCCGTTATCATCCCTCTCCGCCTCTTCTCCCCTTTCTTTCTTTCCCTCTTTCTCGCGCGCGCGATCCACTTCCGCCCTGTCCTTCTCACCGCGTTACCGACCCTAGCCGGGTTACATAGGAATGATTTATTCCGCTTTATTAAATTCACATTCTGGTCTCGCCGCGCTCGCGCGATCCTTCCTCTCTCCCCCCCCCCCCCCGGGCGGTATCGCTCCTCGCGTCGCGTCTTTCCTCCCGTTTATTTATCTTCTCCGTGCGTTTCCCTCGTCCTCGAACGTCCGCGGTGGGGGAGCGCCGCTCTTTGACCGCCTTATCCGATTTTACGTTTTACTTTCGAAATCGTCCCCGGGGTCCGCCGATTCCCGGGGCTGCCGAGACCGACTCGCGTCGAGCCCTCTGTCCTCTCGGTCGGCGGAGACTCTCCGCTCTTTATCTCGACGGATCGGCCCCCTTAAACCCGTACCGTGGCCGAACGTATGCAGAGTGGCGCTCGCGCTCCTCCCGCTCGCCTCGACCTCGAAAAACTGCCACCGGATGTCCATAAAGTCTTTAGGTCTTCCAGGAATCCGCGGTGAATCGGGCCTCGGCCTCGGACTCCACCCGGATCCTTCTCGGGCCCCGGACGCGTAGCCTCTGTAGACGGGCGACGCCGCTTTGGCCGCCGCGGCGGCCGCGTGGCGCGCGCAACTCGCGGCGGGATTGTTGCGGCGAGCCGACCCGTGGCGCCGCCTGGCGGATCCCCCGGGCGAACCTCGGCTCGATTATTACATGGCATTCCTCGGATGCCACCGAGACTCCGCCGCCCCTTCCGTCCGCGCCGCGCCTAACCTCGTTCCCTCCGACCAGCCTCGTCCTTGTCCCTCTCTCCCTCTCTCTCTCCCCCTGCCGCGCTCAGGCCCCCGCTCTCCGTCTCTCGTTAGAGAGCGAACGGATCTCCTAAGAGGCAAAGGCGCTTCGCCTGGGGGCCCGAAGTAGGTCCGCGATATGAATGATAAACGTCCTCCCCTCTCTTTCTCTTTATTTCTAAATTCTCTCTCTCTCTCTCTCCCTCGCGTCTTTGTTTCGCGCGTCAAGAGTTCGGAGCTTCGAAAGCGACGCGGCGCCGCGCATGGTGGGTCAGATGCTCCTTCCGCTCTCCAGTGAACGGGAGATTCTAGTCGGGATCGAACGGAGGGAATCCCTGGAGGAGCGGCAAGGTCCGTCGGTCGGGGGTCAGCGGCGAAGGAGTCCAGCGTCCGGGAGGGAAAAGGAAGAAAAAGCGGTCCGGGATGGAATTCCCTAATTAATCCGGGGGACAAGACCGCGGGCCCGCTTTCGGGGTTAAGTCGATCCCGCTTCTTTGGGCTCGCGCGGCGTCGCCGCCTCGGCGAATCGATCGACCTTAACTCCCCCGCGGTGGCGGAAAGGTCTCCTCCATTCCGCCGCCGATGGCGAGGCGTCTAGGAGGACCAGGGTAGCCAGGGCGGAACGCCGACGGCTCGGTCGCTATCGGCCCGTTATCGCGACTCCCCCGGAGCGGGGCCCGCGATAACCGCGGATGCGTGTCGCAACTTCCGGGCCGCAAGTGATCGCGGCCCCGGCGCAGGTTCTCGCCCGATCGATTAAGGCGCCTCCTTTCCTCGGCCTCGTCGGCGCCGAGGAAGATGCCCTTCGGGGGCGGAGGAGGCGGCCGCCATCTTGGCTCGCGGCGCTCCCGAAGACGCGCGCCGGTAATTCCCCGGCAATTCGCCGCGGTGCGTTCCGACGGGCGGCCGGGCGACGAACGAGGGAGGGAGAGGAACGCGCGACGAGCGAAAGAAGGGAAACCTCGAAGACGGGACGAGGGCGCCGAAGATGGCGGCGGGAACAAAATGGCGCCCACCGGGAGGCCGGAACGGGTTTGCCGGGGAGGTTCGCGAGGGGCCCCGCGGATTTCGAAACGCTCGCGGGATCCGACCGCGGGGATGTCGAAGAGGTCGACGCGTGCCTCGAGGAGGAGCGGCCCGGTCGACCGGAGGACCGCGGTTCCCTTCGCGACCGATCTATCGGGTCGATCCGCAACTCGTCGGGCGACGGAACCCCGAGGAAAGACGGCGGTGTCGGTCGCGGGCGGGATGGAAACGAGATGGCGGCCGCGGCGGAATACCCGCTCCCCGTCCCATGGCGGTCCATGGGCCGCAATTGGCGTCCGCCGTTTGACGGCTGCCTTTGTTATCGCGCCAACGAGTTAATCCTTATAAATAGAACGGTCCGCGAGTTATATTTAAAGGCCGGTCCTCTCTCGGCGACTTTGACGCCGTCCCTCCTCGACCGCGCCGACGCCCTTCGGGAAGATCCCCTAGTCGAAGGAACTCGGTCGGGGCTCTCCCGCTCGCTTCCGGCTCGTTCCCGCCGACGAAAACGTTTTCCCCAGGGTATCGCGTGCCGGCGGCTTAACCCAAATCCACCTCGGAGCGTCGCGATGGGGAATCGACCGGGTCGTTCCGCCGTTCCAAGGTTTTTCCAAATTTTCCCCGACGCCCCCCGAGGGGAACCTCGCACGAGCGGCTCCCGACCTCTCGCTTCCCACGGGGTTCCCTTCCCGGGGTTGGCAGCGGACTTGGCCCCTTTCGTCGAGCCGGATGGGTTCGTAGGTTACGAGTGGTTAATCTTAGCGCCCGACCGACGATAAACGTGGGCCGGCCCTTGCATTCTTCGGCTCTGTGTCGCTGGCTATTTTAAGACCCGCTCTTAACGAACTTGCCACCGTCTTAATTGGAGCAATCGCTGCCGCGCACCCCCCGCGCGGTTCCATTCAGTCCCTTCGGCCGCGGTTCGACGCGCTCGCGAGCTGTTACCCCGCGATGAAAGGGGCGAGGACGCCGTTTCCTCCCGTTCGGGCGGACGACTCTCGCGTCGGTCGTCGGCCGAGAGGAAGGGGTCGCGCGAGCTCGTCCTCGGCGGAGGCTCGATCGCCGACTTCTTCAGGGATTTTCCGCGGAGCCCGCCCCGGGCGGAGCCGAGTTTATTCATAAATCCCTTGGTGACGTAGCCGGCCTCGTGGAGGTGTACAAAGTGAAGTGGGTCCACCCTCCCGCCGCCCCCTGCAGCCGCATCCACCCCGACGCGTTCCATTCAGCTACGGCGCCCCGTCTACTCTTCCGCTACTCGAGCGCTTCCCTTGCCTCGAGATGGTCTCGAGAAAGTTGAGGAGAGGGGAAAAAAAAAATTGTCGGAAAGAAAAGAGGAATCGGACGGCTTTTCCTTTTTCGACCTCGCGGACCGCTTTTGACGGGTGCCTCTCGTCGCCGCGTCGACGCCTACCGCCGACCCCCGAGAGGTCGATTGCCTCGAGCGAATTTCCGATTTTACGCTCGCTCCCCTTTCCGGGCCCGAGGGGAGGCCGGCGAAAAGGGAGAGTCGGGGGCATTTTTCGGGCCTCGGCGGGGGCGGGCACGCCGGTGCAGCGTGGCACGCGGGTCGTGCCACGCAAGGCGGCGGCGGTGGCGGCGGAGGCGCAATCAATGAATGACTGCCCTGCGTGGCTCGGCGCGCGCAGTGACCGTGATGACTTTTCTTATCCGCCACCTTGAGCCGCCCGTTGGGTCGCGGAGTCGGGCGGCGCCCCCACCCGGCGTCGGCGGCGGCGCCCCCACCCCGGGGGCTCCGCTCTCCTTTCATCCGGTACACGTTACGCGCGATGCGTACGCTGGCCCCGAGACGGCGGCGACGCACTATCGATCGCGGGCGTCGGCGTCGCGGCCGCGCGGTGGCGCCCTCGGCGCTCCCGCCCCCCGGCCGCCGCCTCGCCGGTTCGCCCACCCGCGGCAGACCGATCTCGCCGCCGCCGCCGCCACCGCCACCGCCGTCGCGGCCGCGGCCCGATCGCGCCCGATCGCCGCTCCTCCCGCCCGGGCGAGGCGTCGCGCGGCCGCGCCTTCGCCAGTCGGTGCCGACCCGCGCGACCCGACGCGTCCCTCGCGGATCCACCGCGCCGTCCGCCGCATCGATCGCCGCCATGGGCCTCGGAAGGTGCTCGTCGCCGGTGTACGCGGGTGTGGACGCGCGTTTCTGGCCGCCTCGGCAGGGCCGAGGGAAGGCGTCCTACCCTAGGTCCCGAGGCGTCGCCGGCGACGGCGGCGCTCTCCTCGCGAGACGGGCGGGGCGCGGACGGCGCGGACGGCGCCCGCCGAGTCGTCCTTCTTCGCCCTCCGAGAAGGTGAAACTCGACCTCCGCGCTCGCCTTCCGTCGCCGGGACGCTCCCGCCCGGTGTCGCCTTTCCGTTTCGTTTACGTCGCGACGGACGAGCGAGGGCGACCTCCGGAGAGGCCGACGAGGAAGCCTCCCGAGGACGCGCCGAGGTCCTCGAAGGTCCTCGCTCGCGAGGTCGCCGGGAAGTCAACGACCTCTCGGTGCCGCGTCCTCCGACCTTCGCCATGGATACGGGAGCGATCGATGCGGGGCAACGTCCTTGGGGACTCGCCTCGAAGGTTAAGGTGTGACCTTGAAACCGGGGAGACCCCAGGACGAGAGGACGTCGCCGGTCCGCTCTCCTTCTCCCTTGACGTCCTTCGAACCGCCGTCGAGGCGACGGACCCGAGGACTCCCTGAACGACGGTTCGCTTCCTCGGAGGTGTGGTGACGATTCGGTGGTTCCGCGAAGCCCGACCCGTGACCTCGACTCCGGGACATGTGGATACGTGAAGAAAACCGCCGCCGTCGACGAGGACGACCGGTCCGGAGAGGTGAGCCGACGACCGATAGATTTCGACGCGGTCGGTGACGCATCGGCGCCGCCGGTGACGCGTCGGTGACCCGCCGGTGACCCGTCGTGACGCCTTGACGCGCGCACGTGGCACGTCGCGGTGTCATCGTGTCATCGTGTCACCGAGTCATCGGAACGTCGGGCGCGTACCCGATGGGCACCCGGGGTCTCGTAAATGAAAAAGTCTCGGGCGTTTACGATAATCGTTCCGTGCGCGCGTTACGAGACGAGACGGGCTTTCCGCCCGACGTGCGAACCGCACCCCCGCGTGAAAACCCGAAAGGATTCGTCTCGGCGGGAGGTTTTCCGTGGCCCTGGCCGAACTCCGATTCGCCGCCCCCCCTCGGCAATTCTTTACGATCCTTTCCCTTCAATTTTCTTCGCTCGTCGCCAAAGGACGAATCGAGGAAACGGATGGACCCTTTTCCGTCTCGGATCCGTCGGACGTACCGATCGCGGGTCTCCGGAACGACGCCGCCCGTCGTCGAGGAACGGGTCGTTCCTCGCATCTCGGTCGGGGCAGGGGGGGACGTTTTCGATATCGTTTAAAAATAATTTCGTAGGAAGTTGGCGAAGAACGTTAAGATATCGGGGAGGAGAGTGGAGGCGCCGAAGTCGCAGGGGGCGAGAGAGGCTGCGAGGGTCTCCCGTGCGTGCGAGCCTCGCCGTATCCCTGCACTACTCCGCCCCTGGGGTCCCCATAATGGTTTGTTATTGATCTATCTCGGCGCCTTCCTTACACTTTTCTTCCCTCATCCTTGTTCGTCCTCCTCGCTTCCCGGGGGGTGGGTCGGGGAAAGGGGGACGCGAGGACGTTCCCGCACTCGGAAACTTCCTCCCCCGTTGCCGCGGTCCACCCCTCGGTCCTAAGCCCCGTTCCGATCCCCGACCCGACGCCCGCGGGACCCTCGCGAGGACTCCTGTGAGATTTTTCGTGGCCACAGAGACTCGCGAACGGGGACGCGTCCCGCCCAGGACGCGGGACGGAGGAGGGAAACGCGTCCCGATTTCGGGGCGCACCCGAAAACCGTCGGAGTCGTTCCCGCTCGCCCCTTGCCGCGCTTCCTTTTTCCCGGCGGCCGTAAAACCGATGTCGGTAATTACCGGCTACGTAAACGGACCGGACGATCCGGGGTTATTTCGGTTCCGCGGCCGAGGACGCGCGTCCGCTTCGAATCGACTTTGGGCGTTATCCGCAACCCACCGACGTTCCGTCTCTTTCCTCCTTTCCGTTTCATCTCGTAAAGCGAATTTCCCTGTCCGCGTTTCCACGTTTCTTTTTTCTCCTCTTTCCACCCACCCGGCCGACTCTCCTACTCCCGGGACCCCCGAAGACGCGGAGCGGCGAACGTGACCCTGAACCCGCGGCGAACTCGCGGGTCACCCGGTACAGGGGTGCGAAGCTCCAGAAGGGACCGGAGCAACGGGTGCCGGAGAGAGAGGGGCGAAAGAGACAGGCGGAGTTAGAGGTCGGTTAGATGGGGTGCGAGAGGGAGAGGGAGCGACCGCCGCGACTCCGTTCAAGAGAGAGAGAGAGGGAGAGAGGGACGGAGTACGGTCCCCGGGATCAATACTCCCGCGTCTTGCGATCATTCATCTTGCCACGCCCCTCTGCTCTCTCCGCTCGCACGCCCCCCCCCCTTTCTCTCTCTTTCTCTCTTTCGTTCTCTCTTTCCCTTTTTCCGCGCGTAAGCGCTCTCCTTCCGACGCGTGGGTACGCGCGCGTACGCCCGCTCCGCCTTTTACTTCCGGTATCCGTAACGGAGACGCCGCGATCGGGCGGCGGGCCTCCCCTTCGGGTGCGGGCTCGGCGCGCGTATTAAGTTTCGCGCTCGCGCGGCCCGGCCGCCGCGTATCGTCCGCTCTCGACCGAGAGCGGTCGCCAATGACGGGGGGGTGAATCGATTTTCGACCGGGGTTCGAATATATATTTTTTTTCCTCGCGAATATTTCGATTCCTCGATCCGTTCCCGACCGGAGGCGAGATCGAGCGACGCGAGGGAGCGTCCACGTCCGTTCCCCTTATCCCACGTGGTCGCAGGCGTCGCGGCGAGCGTCGAGGAACTCGCGCCCCGCGGATACCCATCCGGTACCCGCCAATGCGGATGTCCTAGCGGCGAATCCGAGGAAGTCGCCGCTGTCCGAAAGAGGGACGGAGGCGTCGATCTCGCCTCGAGACCTTTTCGGACATTCCGCCGGCGGGTTGTACCCGCGCGCGGAGCGAAACTCCCGAGGGTGACGATCCTCGCGGCGACGGTAGATCGATAACGCCGACCACCGATCCGCACTACCCGATAACGACGAGCATGATCTGTGCGCAGCTATGGAGGACGACACCGATGCCACGAGCGGGGACGGCGGGGGCGACGTCGGCGTCGACAGTGGCGGGGGCGGGGGCGGGGGTGGCGGCAACGGCAACGCCAACGGCGGCAACAACGGGGGTGAGGAGCAGGGCCTCGAGCAGCTGTCGGCGGTGGCGAGACTGAAGCAACTAGCCCTCAGCAAAACCGGATACGAACGGTGAGTGACTTTAGCTTCTCTTTTGCCGGACCTACCCTTTCGGGGGTCCCTGCGATCCACGGTCGTCGGGAGACGACCGGGAGGGAAGGATCCTTGGGAACTCCCCTGGAGTTTTCGCCCGTCCGGGGCGAAATTTCGCGATTCTTTGGGACCGGCGATCGGACCAACCCCCTTTCGTTTTCGGGGGTCGTCGATTTTCGCGATTGGGATTTCGTCCACCCCTCGATCCAGGGAACCGTCCTCCCGCGTCGGGGTGAATTTCGGTCGAGGCGAAAAACGCTATTACGGAGCGCGATGCTCGCCGAGCGGAGCCGCGGGCGGCGTTGCCAAATATACGCGGTGTGTCAGCGTCGCGGCGCGCGGCGTCGCGTCCTCCGGTCCTCCACCTCCGCTGCATCGCCATCGCGCCGGCCACGCGTTCGAGGTCAACGTCATCCGGCCGCTCGCGCCCCTCTGGCTCCCTCTGGCTCCCTCTCGCTCGCTCCCTCCCTCTCGCGCCTCGTGGGGGCGCCTGGCTTCTTTTGTTTCCGCTCCAGGTTTTTTCAGGGGGCGCCGATCGCCCCCGGCCTCCCGGTCGGTAAAACGACCCCTCGGTTCCGGAGTCGGGCCATCGGAGGGCGCTGCCGGCCGCTGCCGGCCGAAACCCGACCTGCGCGGGAATTTTCGCGCGTCGCTCCGACGGCCGGACGGGTTCGAGTCCGAACTTTGCCTCGACGATTACCGACCTCGCGGCTTCTCGCCCTTTTGTCGGTCCCTCGAAGGAAACCTCGAAACGAGGGTCGGCAAACTCTTGCCGACAAGGCCGACTCGCAGGGACCGCGTCCCTGGACTTTGCGGATTTCGTTCCATCCCGATTTCTTTTTGCGGCCGCTTCGAGGGAGGGAATCCGCGGAAGCGGAGCGGAGAAGGCGGGCGCGGAGTCGCTCGGATACGCGAGGCAGACGAAACAAAATACCGCTAATTTTAAGCCGACACCCTTAGGTAACGTCTGCGCCGAGTCTAGACGAGAGACAGAGAGAGGAGTCGCGCTATCGCTACCGACGACCCGCCCCGAAAACGCGTCCGGCCTAAACCGGTCGATCGCCTCGGTCCTAACTCGGCCACGGCTCGCTCCTTGGATTCGAGCCGAGTCGCGTCTCCGGATTTTCGCGGCGCGGCTCTTCTTCCCTCGCTTCGAGTAACGAGTTACCTTGCCGCGCGACCGAACGGTCGCCGGATACCCGAGACCTCCGAATTTCGCGCCTACGCCCCGCGGAACGCGGTTTCTCTTCGTTTTATTTTCCGCGAGGGACCCCCGTCGGACCCGCGGTCCTACGGCGACGCGGTGGCGATGCACCGGCCGGTCGGCTAATATTTCGGGAGACGGTCGCGCCACCCACGAGCTCGTCTCCTCTCCTCTCCTCTCCCCGCCGCGGCCTCCGCCAGGTCCGACATCGACGGGTTCCCGGTCCAGTAATAGTCCGCGACGTCTGCGTGCCGTCTGGGCCGGTCCTCGAACCGCGGAAACTTTGGACCCCGCGACCTCTCCGCCGCCTACGTCCGTCCGTATGTCCGTCCGCCGCGCGGCCGTTCTCGAAGCGGCGTCCCGACGACGCGGCCTCTGGTTTCCTCTCCCGCGGCCCTCCTTATCCGCGCTCGAGATCGGTAATTATCCCTCCGGGGCCCGGGAAAAAATTGCCGCTCGGGGGGCGCGTGCCTCGCCATCTGCTCGTCCTCCTGCCATCCTCCGCTTTCCCTTTTGCCGCTCTCTCAGTCTCTTTCTCTCTCTCTCTCCCCCCCTTGCCGGCCCCCTCTCGCGGTCGGCGGCCGATTTACGGGGATCCGGCGTCGGAATCGGCGAGAATCCGACCGGGGCGGCGCATCCCGCGCGGCGGCCGCGGGTAACCCGCGCGCGTTTCCGACCCCTCGGTCCCCGCGCCCGTCGATGAGGGCAGGTGCGGGCCCGCGGCCGGCGGGACGCGTGCCGGGCCAGGTGTAGCCGTCCACGCCCCGATGGAAACGACCGCGCGTCGCCCCGACCTGGACCATCGATCGGGGAGCGAGCGAGTTCCCGTACTCGGCCGGAGAAAAACGGAACGAATCTCTCTTTCTCTCCCTCTCTCTCCCTCGGAGGTCTCCTGGGGTCCGAGGTTCAAGGTCGCGGCGCCGAACCCCCGGGGGAGGAGGGGGTCAACGAGGGCAAGGAGGTGGAATTTCCTCGACGCCCGGAGACGGGAGGAGGCGCGCACCCCCCGGGCGGAAACGACGTCTCCGCTCCCCCGCCCGACTAGCCCTTCTCGGTCTCCTCTCCCCTATCGGTTCGTCAATACGCAGGAAAAGTGCCTCCGAGAATTCCTGAAAATCCCTCCGAACTTTCCTCGCGGACAACGGAGTCGGTCCTCTTTTTGAGTCTTCGAGGTATCCTCGAAACGAGGAGGACTCTTTGCCGGGCGCTCGTTTTCTCGAGTCGACGGTAAAGGGTCGTTTACCCTCTTTGGCGGCGTTCGGGCGAGAATTTCCCGTGGGCGCGGAAAACCGCATTTTTCGCCCGACCTCGGCGTTTCGGAGCGCGCTAAGCGAGTGGGACAACGTTAAATGACACGGCGGCGGCGGCCTTTTGACGTACATTAAACGGGGCGGCGGCTAAGTGCACCTCGTCCCCCGCCCTCGAGCTCGTCTTTGCCTCGTCTTCGCGACTTTGCGCCCCCGTCTACGGGCCGTCCCCCGGTTTTTGGATTTATCCCATTATTTCCGGTCGTTGGCGGCGCCTCGCCGGGACGGAACATCGGCTCGGAAGGCTGGCGTGACTCGAATCGAACGATTCGAGGGGAGCGCGAACGGTGGGCCGGAAGGCGCGGAGCGGGAGGGAAGTAAATACGGCCGCCGAGGGTTTTCGGCGGTTCTGGCGGTTCCTGGCCGCGCGGGACCACGGTTCCTCGGTAACATCGGAGAACTCCTTGGAGCGACGACGTCGGTTATATCGTGTTACGACGTCGAGCTCGTGTTAAGGCCTGGTAACTGAATATATCTCTGCTGAATAGCCGTCAAACGCGCGACAACGATCGAATTTGTCCGGCGAAGCGTGGGCCATTTCGGCGCTCGCCACCCCGGCTGCCGAAACGGCCAAGGGATTCTCACTCCGAGGGCTCCGCCGGCGGAAACGGAAGGAACGCCGCCCCGCGGAGGGACGGGTCGGGAAGGTACACCCCGAGAGGCGACTAATCGCGCCGAGGGTGCAAACGATCGGCGGTCGGGAAACGGAAACCGGTAGGAATCGTCCTGGCGAAGTTCACCGACGTCGGCCCGCTCGAGCACCACTGGAACGAGGAAGGCGACCAGTTTTAGCGCTGATCGAACTAGTCGGCAGAGGGAATCTCTCTCCCTCTCTCTCCCTCTGGAGTCGTCTCCCGAACCACTTTGTTTAGGCTTCGCTTCGCCTCGCTTCGGGGATATTTAAGCAGCTGCCCTTCCAACCCTTTAGTCCCCGCGTTCCCGCTTCTCTTTTCCGGCCCTTTCCCGGAAAATGGATCGGGCCCCGGCCCCTCCCCCGTTGCGTCCGGGACGTCGGAGAGCGACGTCTCTTCCGATTTGTCCCGTGAATTGTTACGAGCGGGGTCGTCGTTTGGTCGCCGAGCGAGGGTGCGTCGTCCGGGCCGCGCGTAGGTGGTCGAGAGGGCCCGAAGGGCGCCCCAGCTGCGGGACGGGCGGGGCCCCGAGGGCCCGCTCCGAGGAAGCTCGGGCCCCGACAGCTGCGGCTCGCGAGATACCGCGCGGGATCGCGGCACGAGCCTCTCTCGGGGCAGGCGCTCCTCACCCCTCTCCGTCGGCCTCGACGGAGGCGAGAGTCGAGGGAAACGAGCGATTTGGATTTTGGGCCGAGTTCCGGCCGGAGGCTCCGGAGGACTCTCGAGCGAACGTTAGGGGCCCCGGGAACGAGGGCCGACACGTCCGTTTTCCGGCACCTTCCGCCGGGGACGGATGGAAAATTAATGCGCGTCCCCTGTCGCTCCCCTCCCTCCGAGCCGGGGCCGGTGGCCCCGAACCTCCGAGCATCTGCTCCGGGGGTTCCGATGAAGTGATTCCGCCGGCATTGTGCCTTTTTCTACCGCGGGGCCGCCCTCCCTCGGGCCCCGCCGGCTGCGGCCCGGCCGCTCCGGATTCCGCCGTCGACGCCCTCCGAGGCGAGGCCTCCGTCGGCGTCGACGATCGACCGAGGCGTCGGTCGCGCCGGTGCTCGGTTACCGGGGATGCGTCGACGCACGCGCGCGTCTCGGCAGCGGTCGACCCCGTCGGCCCCGTCGCCGTCTCGTTATCTCCCGACGTATTCTCTTTCGACTAGACACGAGCTAAGCACAAACCGGCCGGCACGGCGATATCGTTTCGCGGGAGAGCGGGGAAAACCGCGACGGCCGCGAGACGGACGACGGAAAACGGAGACGACGGGGTATCTCGGCGAAAAGTCGGATCGGGCCGAGGCCTCCGCGCGCGTTATCGAGGGGTCGCCTCCGCCCGGAGCGGGCTAAGAGTCGATGCGTATCGGACTCCGCTTCCCGTCCGAGACGCTCGCAGGGCCGAAAACGGGCGGAAGGAACGCGCCGAGAAGATAATCGGCCCCGCGTCCGTTCCGCGAGGGGCCTCCCCTGAAACGGGCCCATAAGGTGCACTTAACGACGGCCCTCGACCACCCTTTAAACCCCGCGCTCGGTCTAACGGTGAGAGGTTTAAACGACCGGTGCTCCCATCGCCGGGTGAAATTCCGCTAAATGATAGGAATTACTCGGTCGCCTCTCCATTCCGCGACGCGGCGAGTCCTCGTCCCTTCCGCGTCCGGCTCGGGAGCGGCAAGGGCGAAGGGAGTCTCGAAGACGTCGAGGCTCGGGACGCGGAGAGGCGGGGGCGGACGGACGGCAGGAGGACGAAGAAGCGCGGGGCGACGGATCGGCCGGAGGGGTGGGCACGCGACCGGAAGTCGGGGGGGAGCGGCGCGGCGGCGCACGCGCCGTCGCCCTCCACCTGGCGCA